TAGAAAGTTTGAGGAAGGAAATGAGAAGGGGAGAATTATCCAGGCACTTTCTCAAACTCCATTTCTCTGGAAGGAAGGAGGACAGACCTAGGAGGGCAGCCTGCTGGCTTCATTTTCACACAGAGACAAAATCTAAGAGTTGGGAGTGGGGACTTCTGAGACCAGTAGGTACAACCAACGGTGTGGGCAGGAAGGGAAGGAGAGGCACCCTCCAGCGTTGTCCATCCTGCCCAGCTGTCATCTTAGAAAAATGCTAAATGGGCAATGTAATCACAGGGGTGACTCTGCCTTATCTCCTCTCCCCTCCCGGTGCTGGGAGAGGGATGAGCTCTGGAAACAGGAGGGGATCCAGGGGAAGCTTCCCTGCCACCAGTCTCCTCCCAGCTTTATTCATGATCAGCTCATTCCATGAAAGCAGTTTCTATAGTGCTCTACGGAGACCTAGATAGAAAATATGAAACTAATTATCATGGCAACTAGTACTGGTTATGGTGATTACTGCCATTTATGACTGGGACAGGTTCTTTGGGTGGTGTCACTCTGGTGGATTGGGCTGTAACTCTGGGCCTCACTGGCTCTCTGGGACATAAGGGGTACTCAGGCTATCCCTGAGGAACAGCACAGGAGCCATGACCTAAAAAGAGTGTCACCTCTGGAGGCCCCTCAGCAGAGTCCTGGGCCCCAGCCTGTCCCTGGCAGGCTCCTGGTATCCCTGGGATACCTCCCATTTCCCCCACCCACCTCCCCAGCCAGGGAGCTCCCTCACGGAGTAGCGCTGGTCTTGACCTTGGCGAGGACCTTTTTTTCCTTGACCCTTCGGTTCTGAAACCAGATGGTGATCTGGCGCTCTGAGAGGCTGGTGACCGCTGAGATCTTGCGCCTCTTGTCCTTGGTGATGAACTTGTTAGCTGAATATTCACGCTCCAGTTCACGCAACTGCCCCTTGCTATAGGGAATGCGCTTCTTGCGGCCTCGGTGGATGGTGCAGCTGTCTGGAGGGTGCTGAGCACTTGAGTCTGCAGGGCAGGAGAGAGAAAGAGAGGAAGACACACTCAAACCCCTGCCCATGCACAGACCCAGGCCCCACAAACTAAGTTGCCTGTAGAAACACCCAGGTCACCCTGCAAGCATACATGTGTTCCTGCCCCCTCCCCAAAGCATCCAGGAACACCTCAGCTTCTGGCTGGTTCTCTGATCACCACTCAGCCTTGGAAAAGACCAGGCTCCTGTGGGCCACCTTCACCCATCACTGCCCTCATACCTGCAAGTCTGTAAACACACCCATCACACACAGCCAGACCTTTGCCCACAGTCACATACATCCACACTCACGTGCATTTTCAGACTCTTGGTCACTCTTATAGATTCTATGGACAAATTCTGTGGAGAAGGGAACAAATTTTGCCCCCACTCCCAACATACACACACACACACACACACACACACCAGAAGGGAACAAATTTTTGCCCCCACTCCCAACATACACGCACGCACACACACACACACACACACGGATGCACACACCTAAATTATGGTGGCAGGAAATCTAAATTTTCCTTTGGAAACTGAAAAACTCATGTAAGAGAAAGTGAGAGGTTGTATTCTTTACAGAACATCTAATCTTTCTGATCTCACCCACCCCACCCCCCACATTTACAGAATGGAGTTATTTAACCTTTTTGTAGACTTAAACTGAGACCTGCTGAGTAGGAACACACTGAGCCTCATCCAACAGCAAAGAGAGCCAAACACTGCGACATACTGAAAGGCTGGCCACAAGGCTTCCCCGGGAGGTGAAGGGGCCTGGTGGCCCTCTGGCTGCAGATAGCACTCACCTCTGGCACCTCACAGATCGTGGGGTTGGGGGGAGCTCCACTCGGGATCTCCAATTGTTTGGACTCTCCTTCAGAGTCCTAATGCCAAAGAGGAGCACCGAGTTCCCCTCACCAGCCCCAAGTCTCCCTCCTCCACCTCCCAGGCAAGTGCCAGTAGGCCTGCAACCCCACGACTGACACCAAGGGGACCCAGAGTAGTGAGGAAGGTTACCTGTACATGTTGCCTTCCAGAAGGCACCTGGTGGGTTCTGTTCTCCCTGGCAACACATCTGGCTGTTCCAGCCACTGGTGAGGGCCCAAGGCTGGTAACTGTCCATAGGCAGCAGGGCCTCGTGGTGAGGTTCCCCAGGGGCGCCCAGAGTCTGCACCACGGACACATCCAGGTAACTGGCCATAGGCTGGTAAGGTCCCGGGTACCCTGGATAGAAAGCAAACTCTGTGGGGCGGCTGGGGTACTCTTCTCCAGCTGTGGGAGTCTCCGCAGGGTAAGCGGTCAGGGTGGCCGCCTGGGCACAGGGTTTCAGCGAGCTCCGCGACACTCTGCAAGAGTAGTACCCTCCTCCAAAGTAGCCGTAAGGCACCGGAGCTGGGGACGCTCCCTGGGGCACTCCAGGGCATGGGTGGCACTGCTTTGGCGGTTCCGCAGAGCCTGGCAGATCCAGGGGGGCATAGTTGACAGCCGGCATCAGCGTAGGCGCCGCTGCCGGGAGGCTGGTCAGTGGGGAGTGGGCGACTAGATTCCGACTCGCTCCCACTCCCAGCAAGCCTTCGATATCCTTTGCCCCATCCAAGGTGGCATAACTGCCTGGCTCCATAGAGCCCAGCGTAGGCTCATGGGGTGCTGGGGTTGGGGGATGCAGAGGGCACCCGGCTCGCTCTTCCCACTCAGGCCCCGGGAATCCAAAGAGTTTTAAATCGCTCCCAGCTCGCAAGGCGTCTGCATTCGCTCTGCTGGGCTGTCCTGACGCAAGAGACGCAGGTGCCCGGGCACGCGCGCTGATTGGCTGTGGCCTGGAGGAGAGAAGGCAATAAAATCTCTATGGCAGAAATTGCGAAAATACTTTACCCCCGCGCTGCGCTCTCCCTCTTTCTGCCTTTCTCTCTCTCTCTCTCTCTCTCT